CCCCAAAACCCCAAAACCCCAAAACCCCAAAACCCCATAATTTAAATTTGATATAGAATTATAAAGCCAAAAAGCTTATAGTAAATTTACTCTTAGAGTTCATGGCTTTTTTAGCCGAAAAAGTTTGAATTTGAACCCCTTGAGAGTCATCAAGTCCAAGGAAAATTACTGAGTCTTTCCAGCAGAGGCTAAAACCTCATTTTCCTTGATTCCTTCAGTGTTAGATGTCTCCATTGAAATCGTTCTGGATTTCTTCTCCTGTTCATCAAGAAGAGCCTTCTTCTTTTGCTTCCTCTTGTTTTTGTGGTAATCATTGAGGTAGCAGTTCTGGCACTTTCCTTTAGCATAGTTTTGTCTATCAGTGTGAGGACATGCAGTCGCCTTATTTATTTCTCCCTAATTTATGGTAACAGTTGTTACACATATTTTTAGCGTAGTGTTTTCTATCTTTATGTGGACATTTGAACACATTCATACGCTTCCGGTTGGCACCAGCTTCACTGACTTCTTTGTTACCACTAGCTTGGCTTACTTCCTCAGAAGGCTTATCTGACACAACACTCTTTTCTCCAGAAGATCCTTCGGTCTTGAGCGGGTTATTCGTTACATACATTGAGCGGGATCTGCCGATCCTACCAGATTCTACTTTTGCATGCATTGGCTTTGGAGCAAATATATTGGCTCCCTTCGGGATCAGAGAGTAAGCATCAGAAGCAGCTACATTTCTTATCATCTCCTCTTGCAGAGCCTGAGTCTTGGCATTCTCCAAGACCTTTATCAGGATAAGCTGTTGATTCAGGTTAACCTGAGCTTGCTGAATACTAGAATCGATGGTAGAGATATTGATCATCTTCCCTTGATTCAGAGCTTGAGCAACAGCCATAGGAGTATGTAATAGCTCTCCATAACCTTGTGGAATTCTAGAGTTATTTTGATTCTGGCTGGTCTCTCCGAGATCTTTAATCTGGATGAAAGATTTTTGTCCTTCCGAGGCTCCTGACATACCATGATTCTTGATGACAGTTTGATAATTTTGGTTAAAATCGGTATACATTTGATAAGATTTCTAAATTAAAATATATAAACTTCATGAATCTTCTGAAATTTCATACAACATCTAAGCACGAAGAAACCAAGAGTTTAAAAATGTGGCTAAAATTGAAAAATTAGCTGCTAAGGAGTAACTACAGTTAGGACCACGTTAATTTAAATTAGGAAAAGAATTTAAGTGAGTCTGAAATTGTAACACGCTAAAATTAATTCACCGCCAGAAGTTTGGGTTGAGTCACCACCAGACACCAAACTGGGAGGTTATCAACTAAAAATACCAAAATTTAGGTGAATAAAGCTCTGATAACTATAAACTTGTAAGAATGTCGTTCAAATATGATTACCTAAAATAAACCTCTACCCTATTAACTATTGGGTGAAATTATTTATAATAAATTCTTTCGACCGTATCTTGGACTAAGTTGATAGTGAATCCCTCTAGCTAAAGTCCTAAGGTGCACAAGCTCTAATCGAAAATAGAGTGTTTAGAAATAAATTTATTTTAATTCTTCAATAAAAGTTCACGCTGTGTAATTTTTGAAGGAAGTAAGCCTGAATGGTTTTCATACTAATTTTCAAATTTTCATTGGCCAAGAAGCCTAAACTCTTGACCACAACAAAATTGGAAAGATGTATACTATATGGAAACAAGTATTCCTTGGTTTAAAATAGCATTCTTGCTAAGTGATTTTAAGCCACTTGCTGTTTGAAAGGAGGATCAAATTTAGTAAATTAACTATTTCATGCCAAATTTTGGGAGGTAGGAAACCTAACCCACTTCGAAAAATAGAGCAATAGCAATGAGACTAAGGGATATATTTAGAGAGATCATAGCTTTCCTAGTTTTTAAAATAAGCTATCAAGATGTTCTAGGTGACAGAATGGGTAAAAGGGTGATGAAAGCAAACTTTCTGGCTGAAAAATATAGCCAAAACTGTTTCGGATCCTACAATTAGTGAAATAATTAATATTTTTAGTGCCCTTAGCTTTTTCTACAGCAGTTTATAATAGAGATAGGGCGAAAATGATTTCCGCGGCATGCTTACCTTTAGTATTAATATTATATAGCTTTAGTATTATATCAGCGGGTTTATATTATTATGGGGTTTTGGGGTTTTGGGGTTTTGGGGTTTTGGGGTTTTGGGG